GAAGCAGCCTCCAGGCTCTGAGCAAGCAGTCAGCACAGAGCCTGACACAGGGCTCAAACCCACAAACTGTGAGATCATGACCTGAGCCCAAGTCGGACTCTCAACCAACTGAGCCACCCAGGCGCACCCCCCCCCCTCAATTCTTTATATCAGTATGGACTCCTGTATATTTCCTTTAGACTTTGGGTAATGTTTACTTTGTTACTCAAGTTGTTCCAGCTTGGCTCTTAGGAGTTATGTCAGGTTGGCTCCTCTGTCTCTTTGATATATCCCCATCCTTTTGATTTTTGAACACTTCCATACTTCCTGGTAAGAATGTGGGAAAGTTGATCTGGGCCCAACCTGTGTATTTCTAGCACTAGAATCTGCCTCTTCTCCAAAGAGGCAGTCCCTTTTACCAGTCCCTTTTATTGGGGAATGGTTTGCAGTGCAACTTAGAAACCAGTATTTGGGTACTGGATTTGCTCATTGCTACTAGAGGATCCATTCTGCTAGATCCTCCCAGCAAACAGAGCTAGGAAATATGTATGTATATTAACCCATGTACGTCTCTATAATGATTTCTGTGTGTGCATATATATTAAGCTGAACATGAGTTCTTACTAATGTCTTCCCTTGAATTATGTACCACAGGGCATGTATTTAGATTTTAAGAATGGCATTTTCCCTATCCATAGAATAGATTCATAAAAAAACAAAAACAAAAAGAAAACCCCAAGACTAGCTTTCTGCAGCTCTCTGCAAGAAACCTAAGACTGATATTTTTGAATAAAACTATATTGCCTTTAAATACCACCTATGTCTTTAAAATCTTTTGATGCACCTCTTCCAGGGACAGATATGGCTGTATTCATTTCATAGGTGGAAAAACTGAGGCACAGAGAAGCTCTAAGGAAGAAAGAATTGTAATAATGAGGACACAAGTAAGTTATACACATCTGGAACCGGCATTCCTTCAGTGAACCCATAGACTATACTAGTAATATTAATTAAAATGTTGTTTTATTAACTTTATAACTAATTCTCCCTAAAATGAAAAAGTGGTATTTCTGTCAGTATATATAGAAGTACAAGATTGTCGGGAAATCAAAATGTACATTATTTTCTCCTGTATATAACGATAACATCTAACAAAGTGAAGACCATGGAGTCTATCAAAACAACTGTTTAGGAGGCTGGCTTCAGTAAATTTGGGGTAGAATGAAACCTGTTAGGTAAGATCTTCCCACATGTATCTCATTGCATTATTCAAATTCACAGATATTACTTATAATGTTTTCATTCAGGTCTTGTGTAATATATAACTCAGGACTGGTTAAAGTGATTGAATAGCCCCCTTCGTTTGCAGTTTTTCCTCACTGCTTCACCTTACAAAACCAGCCATCTGCTCAAGTCATAAATAAAAGCAAGAATGAGTCAGTGTAACCAGTATACAAAAATGATTAATAAAAATAACTAGTGTCTCTTTGCAATAGTGATATATACAAGCAATAGTGATATATACAAGCAATAGTGATGTTAGGCTTTTCTGCCTCAGGTTTATAGGTTTTGAAGAACATTTTTCAAAGGTTCCCTGCAGACAACTTTACAAACATTTTTTGTTGGCTTTCAGCTTAGTATAGGAATCACGATTATAGAAATCTAATATATCTGTGATTTATATAGGGAAAATCAAGTTTAGTGGGGTAAGTTGAAAAAAAAATGACCAAAATTTGAGAATTATCTCTGAATTTTATTCCATATACTTCATTTCTAGCATAGGTGACAATTAGCTAAGACCTTTCAGTAAGTTCTATGAAAGTGACATTTAAGCCATCCTGTCAGTTAACTTTCATCTGTAATGCATCTTAATTATTTTAATAATATGGATTTGTTTTCAGTTCTTTTTCTTCTTTGAGAAGGTGGCATTGGTAGGATTCTAATTAGTCTATGTCAGTGGTTTTCAAACATGAGCGAGAAGCAGAATCATTGGATTCTGGTATTAAAACATGTGCTGGACCCCACCCAGGCTCTCCTATTCAAGAGATCTGATTGTGTAGGTCCCAGGAGTTTGCATTTCTAGTAAGTTCCCTGATGTCGATACTGCTGCTTCAGAGACCATGGTGTGATCTCTAAAAATGTACTGAAAGCTTACTGTGAGCCAGGTACTAGTCTAGGAGTTTGACAGTTACTGTCTCCAAAACTTGAGTAAGCTTGGTTCCCATTTTACAGATGAGAATTTGAAGCTGAGAGAGGTTAAATTGATTTACTTATGCAATGTCTTACAGCTAAGAAAATGGTGGAGCCAGGGTTAGAGTCTAGGCAGCCTGTTTTCCAATCCAAGGCACTCATTTTATTGGGATAGCTATTGCTTTAAAAGGCTAAAATTACACATTTAGAATTCTGAAATAAGTATCCCAAAATGCTTTGTGTCTTAAGATAGACAAAATCTTACTTTAAAACATAACCACATACATATATTATAAAAAGTAATACAATATTCTGAGATAAGATACTTAGGGGGAAAAATAAAACATTCCTTTTATCTTCACCTTTCAGATAAGTGGAAAGTCAGCCAACTGGGTTTCCACATCAATGGGG